TATATCCATTTTAGTGAGAGTTTTTATCATGAATGGATGTTGAATTTTGTCGAATGCTTTTTCAGCATCTATGGAGATGATCATGTGGTGTTTGTCCTTCTTTTTGTTGATGTGGTGGATGATGTTGATGGATTTTCGAATGTTGTACCATCCTTGCTTCCCTGGGATGAATCCCACTTGGTCATGGTGTGTGATCCTTTTGCCATTGTTTTTTGATAGTGATTGTATTGAATCTGTAAATTGCTTTCTACAGATTGGAACCTTCTTCCTCAAAAGAAAACTTATACACATTAGCAGTCACTTCCCACCTCCTTGCCTCAGCTCTAGACAATCAGAAATCCTTTCTGTCTCTATAGATTTGCTTATTCTGGGAACCTCAAGTCTTTTAATAGATGTACTTACTTGAGATGTCAGAGGGGTTGTTTTATAATAAAACAACAGAAAACTTGTGGGTAGATTCAGGCAAGGGGTCTTGATTTATCTGACTAAATCCTTAATTTGTTCATACCTTTTAATGAATAAAATTTTGTGTCTGAGCTTCTATCATCCTTATTTTTGTTAATTGTGCTTTAGTACTGCAAAATTGATAAAAAGGAAGGCTTCCTCAAAGTATTCCTGTTCAAAATCAATTGATTAGGCAAAACTGTTTCAAATTCAGGAAAGTTAAATTTCTAGTCCAGTTTTTTCATTTTTCCCATTCAATCCAATCAACACTTGCCAAACAGGACTATCCTTTCCAGAAAGGAGGCATTTACATCAGAAAACGTTTATGTATACACAATTGTAGTTGAATGTCATAAAAAGCAGTTGATTCAAGTGCTATCTGTTTTTTCTAAATCTCTAATATGGAGCCCACTTCCTTAAAATTACACTTATTCAAAGGATTTTTATGAAGTAAAATTGTCTTTCATTTTGGTTGGCTTTGCATTAGTCTCTTGCAATAGTGTAGCATAACACACTGTAGGAACTTTTGATTGGTATACATTTTAACTGTCAACATCAAAAATTTTTTAAGTATATAAAACCTCAATATTAAAACTGGGGTCTTATACCCAAAATATGATATCTATTATTTAATATACTTCCCATTGAAACAATTTCATAATATCTGATAAAATATATAAGTAGATCCTATTTACATCCCCAAATACATGTTTTAATCTTTTTTTCTGAAGTATATATGCTCTATACACACAAGAAAATAACTGCTTTTGTATCTGCATTGTGGTAAATATGAGGATGTGATAGATAATGCACCGTTTTGTATTTGAAAGCTTTCTCTAGTGGTTTCTCTTTTGTTATTGCTCCTTTGGTTTGTGTTGGACTTCCAATTCATTGTTCCATATGTGACCAATAAGCCGGCTCTTTGCTCTCTTTGACATGACATAGTAAGTTTAAAAGGCATATCAAGTTAGATAAACATTGACACATTAAAGAATACATGGTAACTTGAGAAAGCTATGAAAATTTAAATTAATAAATCAACAGGATAAGGCAAGGGGGCATGTGTGCTTTACAGGGTCTATAAATAAGACTCACTGAAAGGAAAAAATATTTTGAATAAATGTGAAAGAAATAGAAATAGAGAACATACTGTATGCTTCCACTTACATGAACTTCTAGAACTGGAAATAATAATCTATAATTATAGAAGTTAGAAAGTGGTTGCCTGGAGTTGGGGGCTTGGGGATGACTATAAAGGAGCAGGAGGATGGAAACATTGTGTAACTTCACTGGTGTGGTGATTACACAGGTGTGTATACCTTCATTAAAACTGATCAAACTCTATATTTAAAATATGTACGTTTTATCTTATGTAAATTATATTACATTGAAGTAGATTTTTTTAAAGTCAAAGTAGGCAGTAAAGGGTACCACAGGGTTCAAATGTGGTTGTGTTTTAATCCTGAATGAAAGATGACTTCTTTGTTTTTAAATATGGAATATCCACATCATACCAAAGAAGTACATTAAGCTCTTTTGTAGTGCTAACATTTACTCCTGTTCAGGATTGAGTACTGGCATTTTATGATTCTTAGCCACTGTAAGATCGGAACTTCTTTGATAGATAAACCACTTTAAATGCCTGTTTTCCCCCCATTATTTCCACTGAGGAGCAATAAAGCAGGAAACTTACCCATTACATCTTTACAGGGTTCTTATGACTTTTAAAGCACAATTTTGAATTTAAACTACTGTTTTATAGTATGTTTCTCAGGGTAAGCTGAAGGCAAAATAATAATTTTTGTAGGAAAAGTAGGATAAAATCTGTCTTGAACATATCACAAAATTACCCTTAATGCCACTTTATAAATCAGTTATAAATAGTATCAGAGGTAGTAGGACTGCACATGTGAAATTGAAATATTCTATGCACTGTTTTTGTAGGATGGAATTACATAGTGTTCGAATTAATATGTAGGATGAGATTGTGGTCAGGGGAATCTCTCTTATCTATCTAGAGTCACTAGCATGCAAAGGAGAAAAATCTACCAAAGTCATGTAGGCATTTTAAAAGAACAGTTCGGTAAGATGGATAGAAACTTGAAATTAGAGCGTGTTGATAATAAAATATATGTAATATTTATGTATAAAGAGCTAGGAGAAAAAGACTAAGAAAGTGTGTGATAGATGCAAAATATTAATATAATGAATATGGTTGTGGGGGAGGGGCAAAGCAAGTGAGGCTAAAGGGAGAGAGAAATTGAAAAAAGATGTAATTACATCTGGGGTATTCCAAGACTTTTTCAAAATTAACTAAAATTTTAGAAACGCCAAAACATATGTTTTCAGTTGATGTCTTGAATAAAAAGTTATCATATTTTTTTTATTATTATTATAAGATATCTCAATTCTACCCCAAGGTATGGGGAGCACAGTAAATAAATCCTTCATGAATAGATGCCATGATCATTATTTTAGCTCATTGTTCTGTCTGCAATACCCATAGTTAACCGCAAGGGGGCTGTAATTCCATTGGCAGCAGTTATCTGGCCACAAACGTTTTATTCTCTGCAGGGATACTTGTGCAGTTAAGTTAAATTAATTGGGAGCTACAGCAGGTAGAATGAGTAATTACTGTGAATTGAAATGATTTCATGTGTTATTGTAATGCTATGTATAATTCTTATTGTACAAATGACTTGGTCACCCACTTCTCTACCAAGCCATGTGTCCTATCATTGTTCAAAGGTAGCTATTAATTTTGTACCTCTTTTTTTTGAAACATACTAGGTAGACCCAGTTTTACATCCCTTTCATGAAGAAATTAATTTTATTTATTATAGATCTTCTGCCATTTCAGTAAAATAGAGGTTTAATGTGATCATGTGTTCTCACATACTTATTTCAATAAATCTTTGTATTATTTCTGCCATTTCAGTAAAATAGAGGTTTAATGTGATCATGTGTTCTCACATACTTATTTCAATAAATCTTTGTATTATTTGGAACTATAAGAGACAAGAAAATGCTAGTTCAAATTTACAACATTAAGTGTATCTTCTGAAATTTAAAATAACAAAACTTACCTAAATTGTTTTTTCACTAATTTGAAGTCAGAACTAGTTTTTATTTATTGTTATAAAGAATGAAAAATATAAAAATTTGTTGGTATAGTCTATCGTATCTTGGATGATTAAAGGGGTAACCACATTAAATTATTTAAGCTGTGGCTTTAAAATGTATCACATAAATATTTTATACTATGCTTCACACATGTTAACTTACACTGATAAGTTTATGAGCTAATAAAATATTTTAATGTGTTCAAATAATATAATTAGCACTTTCTGTGTTTTTCTCATAAGTCTAATCATCTTTAGATCACTCTATTTTACTTACTTGGATGAATGGAAGAATTACTTTTGTTGGAGCGGGGAACTTTTCCCCTACCTTCTTGGGTTCTATTACTGGGGGCTGCAAATTAAACTGACAAAGGAGAGATTAATGGGAGAAAAGGGTTTATTTTATATGTACATGAGGCCAACAAAGAAAGCAGCTGGCTTGTTTAATGGTTCAAGTTAAAGGCTTTTATACCTAAATTTAGTAGAGAAAATAGAGGGGTGAGGACCGTTCCTATGGGAAAAACAAATAGGTTTCTTTAGGAAAGACAAATGCATTTTCAGGAGAACAGATAGGAGATAGGTTTGTGATTATGTTTGTCTATACAGGTTTAAAAAATAGGCTTACCATCATCTTCAGAGCCATAAAATTGTCCTGGAGAGGGGATTTATGGTAGCCTCATTTTCCAGAAGTTGCTGCTTTTTAGTCAGAGAGGGGAAGCTCCAAGGAGGCTTTTTCTGCATCTGTTGAATCTCAAAAATGTCTTCAATTTAAAATAATCTTTATACCAACTCTGGGGTTCCAAGTGGATTCCCACAACTTTTTATTTTAAGGAAATCTCTGTAGTTAAACCTTTTTGGTCATGTTTATGTGCTTTGGGAAACTTTTTGCTCTTAAAATATGTTAAATTAACATTGTAAACCAAATTGATCTGTCCTGCAAAAATGTAGTTAGCTAATATTTGTTCTAATTTTGTTTTCACATCTCAAAATAAATACTGTCAATTGATACTTTGAAAATAATTGATACTGAAACAGTGATTTCTCAAGTGTTATTTCCTCTTCCCACTTCTAGTATCATTTTAATGACTATGAGTTAAATACCATTTAAGTACTCCTGGTCTGTAATAATTTTATATGAAATAATATTTCAACTTAATATTTGATTTCGAATTTTGTTAATTCATTTATAATACTTAACTGACATTTAATTTCCTCTTTAACTGAAGGACTGATATTAACATATCCACTAAACTAGTGTTTAGCTTTTTTAAAAATTCATTTTATATAAACAAGACTGTCATTCTTCTGACACTTCAGGATATCAGCCTCATTACATTTCAGATATGCGTTATGTGTGAATAATGTAAATAATTATTCTGAATAGCACCTTACATATAGAGTTCTTATTGCATTTTTCTAAATGTTTGCTTTTAGGGTTATCAACCAATATCCATGAGCATCTGTAGGCCAACCATTGCTGTCCCTCAAAAATAATGGTAAGTATACCCATAAGCATGCCTCCAAACTCTTATTTTACAATAATATATAACTATTATATTTAGTGGATTCCTATTATTTTGCTAATGTAGACCTAACTCTGAACTAGTAAAACATTTGCTATTAATGACTTACAACATCTGAAGAATATTATCTAATTGGTAAATGACATATTAATGCAACCTGAAAAAAGAAATCTCAGCCTATTATTATGTTACCAAATGTTGTGTTAAACAGACACCCTTGCAAAGTGTTTAACCACCACCCCGACTTTATGCTAAATAAATCTAAAATAAAATAGCATAAATAAGATCAATTAGGTTAGTGAAGACAAAATATAAATGTTCCATTTTCTCCTTCAGAAACAAGTCTTATAACCAAGACTGGGCTGTAGGAAATTCAGCTATTGTTTTCCTATTACAAATTTCTGAAAATCTCTTCAAAATACTCTTGATGGATGGACGTAAAAATCTCTGGAGGAATAGGAAGGGAGACTGAAAACTTTGTTTCCCAAAAGGGAGTATCAAGTTATAAATGCTGAAAAACGTTGACCTGGAGAATGGACAAACCCATGCCCCATAGGTTTCCTGGTATGATATTACAAGTTAGGAAAAGTGGGTCAAAATTGGATCCCTTATTTTGAGGTCCAGACTGCACAGGGAATTCCCAATTAAATTTCTGATTGTTCTCAGAATCATACACACATTTAATATCACAACATATCTTTAGAATGATAGTGTTAGAGGAAGAACTGAAATAATTGTAGAGGTAAACTCACTTAGACTATAAAATGTTCATGTACCCTTTTAGTATATACAATTAATATATACTTATATAAATGAAAATTAAATAATACAAAAACAAATTGGAAAATGGAAGTCTATCAAAATCAGATCAGTTAGGGATGGAATAGGGCTGAGAATGTCTGCTGAACACCTTACTAAAGATCAAAAATAAAAGAAGAGTTATTTTACATCAAGACAGTTGCATCAAAATGGCTGCGTTAAAATGTACTCTAGTGAGAATGGCCATCATGAAATTGTCCTACTTTGTTATTTAATAGTTCACCATTTAAGATGATGACAATGGTTGTACTTCCTTTGTTTAATATGTATTGAAAAAGTTTTTCATGCTATAGGCAGCTTTATATAGAGGAAAAAATGAAATTCAAAAAGTGTAAAATACAGAAAGTTAAAGAACTCCAGCAGCTCTCCTGAGAGGGCACAGGAAATCACTCACTGTGAGTCTATGAAGATCCACGTTTGACTGCAGATGTTTTCACTGAGTTGGAATAGGTTAATGTGGACATGCAGGTGAATTTACACTCTTAAGCTTCAAACAGTGCTCGCTCAAGGCCATGTCACATTATCAATGGCATTGTAAGCCCTGTCTGTAAAGAACAAGGTAAGGTTAGCCTTAGTAGAATGTGGCTTAAGCCAATTTCGTCCTTAGTATCTCCCTTTCAGCACTATTTTTATCCTTACCATATTGTCATAATGAACGCTCCATGCTCTTCTCCCAGGCCTCTTTGTACACACAGGCCTGTTGCCATCTTGCTCTTATCCAGCTGTTAGTTGGGGATTTTGATACACAAATTCATCCCAGAGTGGCAATATCTAACAAGTTCTACCCCATCCAGAGAGAAGCATGTTTTAACCTTGAAAATACGCCTTCAACAATTGACTTCCTTGATGAGCTGAAAGAGAAAGTATGTCCCAAATCTCATCCAAGTGGGTGCATAAGGTTGTTGCCTACTTCACTTCTTCTAAAGGCTGGCCTTGTCAGGGCATGTTAGTGACATGATAAATGTATGTACAGCATACTTAATGTAAAAGATAGAGATTGGTTATTTATGATAAATAATTTTGTTAATGTTATTAAATGTGTTCATTCTTCTTGTATATAGAAAAGTATCAAGAGTTTTATGATAATGTATATACATCCACAACCTGATATTCTTCACGTTTTTGAAATATGGATCCCTGGTGATTTCTGTGGCTATTTTAAGCTATTTAAGATTCTATTGATCTTAAAAATAAAAGTCAGTTGACATGATTTCTTTTCAGCTTTCATTTGAACTTAATAATACCTTCCCTAAAGCCTTACTTATATTATCTATGTTATGTGAGATATATATATATCATAGTCAAGGTAATAATTTAGGTAATGTATTCAATGTCTCCTGTGAAAATGATCAATTGGACAACTGTGCTCCTTCTGATCTGGACAAGGTTTGTAGTATCAGTAAGTATTAAAGGTAAACATTATCTTTTTTTTGTAAAACCACATCAGCATTAAAGTTTCTTCACACAAAGGGCTACTATAAAGAAATGTTGTACATATACTGGGCTCTACAATGTCATAACAGGATTTATACTTGTCACACCCTTGACACGTACATTAACAAGAATTTTATCTTTTTTTCTTTTTATCTTTTATTTAAATGGCTTTGCATTGTTTCAAATAAATACAAGCTCACTTAGAAGAAATTTTTTTTCAGTAGTTCTCTGATATATAACTGAGTAATTATTGCAGAGTTCTTTAGGTTACTAAATTAGTTTAATTAAAACAGACTATAACAAAAATCAAATATTACCTACATTGATAGACAGTTGTATAATTTCACTTTGCAGTGTATTGTGGTTATTCGTTTTAGTCACAAATATTTTAATATGTCTTCGATTAGATAAAATAACTAAATATATTTTATTGCTCTTTAACTTTTCATTCAGTTAAAGTACATAAAGCTTAATCAGAACTCATGAAAGGTATACAGAACTGAGTATTATGCAACAGAATATAGATTTAATTGATGTATACTTTTAATGAACATACCACAAATATATTATTTGATTTTTATATCTTATTAGCATCTTTTTCTTAGTTTAGTATTAGTAACTAACATGTAATATGTATTTGACAATATATTCAATAATTAATTCAAAAATAACTGTTCGACTGGTAATGATAAAATAAAATAGCACCTGGAGAAAAGAGGTATTCAGTCAGGCATGCTTTTTTTTTTAAATTAATAAATATACACACTTAAAGCATAGGAAAACTTGAGGCTTTATAGGTTAATTCCACATTCCTCACAGTTTTTACTTTTATGAGTATTCCCAAAATTGAAGTGGTCCTTTATAATAATCAGTCAAACTCAAAAACATAGTACTAACTATGTGCTTAAAGAAATATTTGCTGATTTTACAGAGAAGGCAAATAGTGACTCTGTGGCATCTTACTACACTGATGGACAGTGACTGCAATGGCATATGGGGGGGACACGATAATATGGGTGAATGTAGTAACCACATTGTTTTTCATGTGAAACCTTCATAAGAGTGTATATCAATAATACCTTAATAAAAGAAAAAGGGAATGGGGGGTGGCAGGGAAGAGAAAATAAAAGTCAAGAGATTTCTGGTTCTAGCAGGTCATTGATTTAGTTTATTTAGATCATTTCTTTAGTTAAGTGACCAAATGTTTACTATGACTCATGAATGTGGTTAATTTGAAAAACAACATATTGTTAATGTCTATCTAATTAAACCTAAGAGCCTAGTTCACAAGCAGCTGACATGTAAGGGGACCAATACCTCAAAGCCACCAGAAGGCAACCTATTCCCTAGTGGAGAGCAGACATACTTGGTAGAAACACAGCAAAGCCAACAAGGCATAATAAAGGTCCTAATGACTATTCACCAAGACAGTAGTCTTTCTACCTCTGGGTGCTAAGATTTGTCAGTATTTTCAAAAAATTATATAATAAAAATATTTAAATAAAAGAAGAGGGAAAGGAGTATATAGATTCATCTGATCTTCAGAGAGGAACATTAGCTTTATTCCATTTCCCTCATAATCTTGCTTCTCTCTTTCTTATTTGACCAAAAAAAAGCAAACTGTTACAAGCCACTGCTTGGAGAACTGTACCTTCTTCAGCACTCCCAGTATACCAAAACTGTGAAGAGCAGCGACAACAGGGACTCCTACTGAACACATTTCCTTTTTGGAAAGATCCCCCTTTTTGGACAAAAGTTAGCTACAATTTCCCCCTTTTTGGACAAAAGTTAGCTACAATTTCCTGATGCAGCTTATACAATTCCTTATATTTATTTTTCTTTTTAATTAAGATATCATTGATATACAATCTTACAAAGGTTTCACATGAGCAACTCCTTATATTTCTTATACAATTTTCTTAGATATAAAAGGATTGTTCCAAAGTATGCTCCTCTCTGATGCTATTAAGTAGATCAGCCTTTCACCTGCTAGAATGAGAAAATGTATTGAGGGGAGTTGTACAAGTAGATTATCTATTAATACAATAAACAAAGATATAAATGGACACATGAAAAAAAAAGAAATATTTGCTGATTTTAATAATCTGAGTGAATTGTTAGCTTGAAAAACTATATACCATACATATTTTTCACTCTGAGTAGCCTGAGCCAAAACCCAAAAAAGGCTGACAACATAGTTAGAATGCACACATTCTAAGATATTTCAACTTTTCAAAATAAGTGAAAGTTACTTTATTTTGGAAAGGTAAGCAGCCAAGCAGTTTCAAAATAGAGCCACATGTCCGTCCATGCATTCTAGATAATAACAGCAAAATAAATTTATGTCTGTTTTTTGTTTTTGCATATATGCCTCTCAAAAATACGCTTGCACTTTTAAATTGCACATTTTCAAAACATTTATGTCTTCTTAAATATAAAATATGGGTATAACTAAAGTAACTACAAGTAAATTAATGTTTGTCATATAGGAGAACATCATGATCAAAGAGTTTATGATATAAATGTTGATTTTTCATTTCACTCTTTAAAAATATTTGTCTTTAGTACATATTGCTCTGATTCTTAAAATAGCATGTATCTTTCAAACATAACATATTTTAATGGCACAGAAGTGCTTACCTATTGTGTGAAATGAATATTTGCATATTTCTATCATATCATATTTCTATTGCATTTTACTCTTATTTAAAAATTATTTC